CCCCAAAGCCCCAAAACCCCAAAACCCCGGATTGAGTTCAAAACTAAAATAATATAACGAAGTAAAGAATAAAATTTCAATTAATTTAAAAATTTAATAATTTAATGAATTCAGATATTCCTTCTATAGAGAGCTCAGACTATGATCAAATCATAATAATACCCTAAGAGACGTTCAATCTAATAAATAATCTTATTTGATTTAACCTTAAAATTGGTTAGTCGTAAGAAGATGAGGGGGTTTTAAAGTCTCCAGCGCATACAGTACTTATTATATCATTTATGTTCCTGTTTTCTGCTATATATGTTGCTTATGTACTCTACTCCGATGCACCTTAACTCAACATGTATGCCCCTCTAAAATCAAAAAGAATACATCCAGCTAATGGTGGATTTGAACTTGTAGATTAATTTAAGAGGAATGATCTTACAGCCAGCCAGGGCTCCTTGCACAATAATGAGATGAGTTAGAAAGTACTAATTGGAGAACAGATGAATCAGGATTATCCTCTTAATAGCAAAAATAAAAAATAATCAATGCTGATTAATAAAAACAGTTTTGAAGACTCAAAAGAAGAAGATATAAATGAATGAGAATTTTAGATACAATCGCCTTAAAAAGATCAGAGCAAGGATAAAAAGAAATCAACTATTCTTCCTCCGATTAATAGCAATAAAAGCCCTAAGAGTTTTGTTGTAGATGATAAATATAACACTTAAGCAAAGCTTTTTGAGGTGCCAGATGTCAACGATTCCATTAATTTGGGAAATTCGAAGAGAAACATGCTTTAATCTCCATAAGATAAAAAGATGATAAATTTAGATACAGAAGAAGGCTAAGAATTCAATGTAATGGAAAATTAAGAAAAAGATGAGGAATCTATATCGTTTACAAATCCTAACAATAACAATTCAGATAAAAACGATAATGGAAATAAAGGGGGTCAAGCAATTAAGAACAACTCCCCAAAGCGAAAGAAAGGCTAATAGACTTCTTAGAAATCAAATAGAAGTAATACTAGAGGTAGCTCGAAAAAGACAAGAGAGATGTTTTATGACAATACAAATAATCAATAAAAAGCAACTGAAAATGATGGATAAGAAGACGAGGAAGATGATTATGATTATGAGATTGTTTGAATTGCTAAAAATATGAAAATTCGAGAGTGCCAAGTTTTTGTTTAAAATTGGTCCTAAAGCACTATAAATTTTAATTTCTTTAATATAACACTTTTATTCTTAAATTAAGTTCCATGGGGTTTTGGGGTTTTGGGGTTTTGGGG